CATTATATAACAATAAAGGGGTCAATACATCAATAAGCTACAACAATTATAAGTATTTATACTTGGAGCACCTAAATATATAAAGCAAAACCTAACAGAGCTAAAAATAGAAATAAAGAGCAATACAATAATATTTGGGGACTTTAATACTCCACTCTCAACAATGGATAGGTCTTCCAGACAGAGAATCAATAAAGAAATAGCAGATTGTAATACTATAGACCAAAAGGACCTCACAGATATATACAGAGCATTTTATCTTACAACAGCAAAATGCATATTCTTGTCAAGCACACATGGAACATTTTCTAGGGCAGACTATATGCTTGACCACAAAACAAGTCTTAGCAAATTCAAGAAGATTGAAATCATACCAAGTGTCTTCTTTGACCACAATGGCATGTAACCAGAAATCAATAACAAGAAGAAAACTGGAATTCACAAACACATGGAAATTAAATAACACTTCTCAGAACAACCAATGGATCAAAGAAGAAGTTAAAAAAGTAAAAAATTTCTTGAGACAAAAGAAAATGGAAATGCAATATACCAGAACTTGTGGGATGCAGCAAAAGCAGTTCTTAGAGGGAAGTTCACAGCAACAAATGCCTACATTAAGAGACAAGAAAAATCCCAAATAAACAACCTAACTCTCACTTTAAAGGAGAAAAAGAAGAATGAACTGAGCCCAAAGTTACAGAAGATTGGAAATAATAAAGATTAGAGCAGAAATAAATGAAATAAAGAACGGAAAAAAAATAGAAAATACAAGCCAGATTAAGAGTTGGTTCTTTGAAAAGATAAACAAAATTGACAACCCTTAGCTAAACTAACTGAGGAAAAAAGAGAAAGGACTCAAATCAACAAAATTATAAATGAAGACATTACAATAGATACCACAGAAACTTAAAGAATCATAAGAGCTACTGTGAATAACTATATGAACTTACTAAGACTGAATCAGGGAAAAATAGACAATCTGAACAGACCAGTTATTTGAAAGGAGATTGACTCAGTAATCAAAAATCTCCCAATGGTGAAAAGCCCAGGACCAGATGGTTTCACGGGTGAATTTTACCAAACATTTAAAGAATTAACACCAATCCTCAAATTCTTCCAGAACATCAAAGAGAACGAAACAGTCTCAAACTCGTTTTATAAGGTGAACATTACCCTGATACTAAAATAAAAAAAAAAAGATTTGCTTAGAAAAGAAAAACAAAGGCCAATATTCCTGATGTCTATATGTGCTAAAATTCTCAATGAAACACAGGCTTACCTCATTTTATTGTGCTTCTCTTTATTGCAGTTCACAGATACTGTGATTTTTACAAATTAAAGGTTTGTGGCAACCCTGCATCAAGCAAGTCTATCAGAGTTGTTTTTCCAACAGCATTTGCTAACTTCATGTCTCTGTCTCACATTTTAATAATTCTCACACTATTCCAAACTTTTTCATTATGATTATATTTGTTATGGTGATCTGTAGTCACGATTATGACTCACTGAAAGCTCAGATGATGGCTAGCATTTTTTGACAATAAAGTATTTCTTAATTAAGGTATGTGCATTGTTTTTTTTAGACATAATGCTATTGCACACTTAATAGACTACAGTATAGTATAAATATAACTTTTATATGTACTGGGAAACCAAAAGCATCATTTAACTTGCTTTATTGTGGTATTTGTTTTGTTGTGGTTGTCTGAAACCAAACCTTCAGTAGCTCTAAGGTATGCTTGTCCTAGTAAACGAAATTCAGCAGTGCATTAAAAGGATCATTCACCATGAACAAGTGGGATTTATCCCTGGGATGCAAGGATGGTTCAACATATGCGAATCAATCAGTATGATACATCATATTAATAGAATGAAAAAAAATCATATGATTATTTTAATAGACACAGAAAAACATTTGACAAAATTCAACATTCATTCATGATAAAACTCTTAACACATTAGGCATAGAAGGAACATATCTCAACATAAAAAAGGCCATATATGCCAAGCCCACAGCTAACATCATACTCAATGGTGAAAGGTTGAACACTTTCTCTAAGATCAGGAGCAAGATGAGGATGCCTACTCTCACCACTCCCGTTCAACATAGTCCTTGGGAGTCCTAGCTAGAGCAATTAGGCAAGAAAAAGAAATAAAAGATATCAGTATTAGAAAGGAAGAAGTAGTAAAATTGACTATATTTGCAGATAACATGATTTTATATAGAGAAAACCCTAAAGATGCAACCAAAAACTGTTAGATCAAAACAATGAGTTCAGTAAAGTTGCAGAATACAAAATTAACATACAAAAATCAGTAGCATTTCTATACACTAACAATGAATTTTCTAAAAAAGAAATGAAATCAATCCTATTTATAATAGCATCAAAAACAATAAAATACTTAAAGAATAAATTTAACTAAGGAGGTGAAAGATCTCTACTCTGAAAACTATGAGACACTGATGAAAGAAATCAAAGAAGACACAAATAAATGGGTAAGAATCTCATGTTCATGGATTGGAAGAATTAATATTACTAAAATGTGAATACTACCTACCAGAAGCCATCTATAGATTCAATGCAACCCCTATCAAGATTCCAAAGGCATTTTTTACAGAACTAAAAAAAATAAATAAAAACACTCGTAAAATTTATATGGAATCACAAAGACCCTGAGTAGCTAAAGAAATCCTGAGAAAGAAGAAGAAAACATGAGGCATCATACATCCTGATGCTATACTATAAAGCAATAGTTATCAAAACTGTATGGTACTGGCATAAAAACAGACAAATAGACAGAAAGAACAGAATCAAGAGCTGAGAAATAAACCCAAGCATATTCAGTCAACTAATATTTGACAAGGGAGCCAAGAATACTCAATGGAGAAAAGATAGTTTTTTGTTTTTGTTTTTTTAATAAATGATGTTGCTGTAATTGGATATTTGCATGTAAAAGAATGAAACTGGACCTATATTTATACCACTTACAAAAATTAACTCAAAATGGATTAAATACTTAAATGTAAGGCCTGAAGCCATGAAAATCCTAGAAGAAAACATAGGAATAAAGTTCCTTGAGGGGTCTTGGTAATGATTTTTTTAATATGACACCTAAAGTATAAGCAATAAAATAAAAAATAAGTAAGTGGGACTACATCAAACTAAAAAGCTTCTGCACAGCAAAAGGAACCATCAACAAGGTGAAACCCAACCTATGGAATTGGAAAAAAATATTTTCAAACCATATATCTGATAAGAGGTTATATAAAGAACTCCTACAACTTAATAGCAAAGCACAAATAACCTAATTTAGAAATGGGCAAAGGACATGAATAGACATTTCTCCAAAGAAGATACATGAAAGGCCAATAGGTATATGAAAAGATGCTCAACATCGCTAGTCATTAGGGTGATGCAAATTAAAACCACAATGAGATATCACCTCATGCCTGTTAGAATGGCCAACATAAAAAAGACAAGACATAACAGATGCTGGTGTACATGTGGAGAAAAGGGACCCCTTGTGCACCACTGGTAGGATTGTAAATTGTTGCAGCCTTTATGGAAAACAGTATGGAGAATCCTCAAAAAATTAAAAATAGAACTATCACATGATCCACCAATTCACTTTTGAGAATATATCCAAAGGAAACAAAAACACTAACTCAAAAAGGTCTCTGTACCTTATGTTGATAGCAACATTATTTACAATAGCCAAGACATGGAAACAACCTAAGTGTCCACTGATGGATGGATGTATAAAGAAGCTGTTGGATATATATATATATACACACACACACACACACAATGGAATATTATTCAGCCATAAAAATGAAGAAATCCTACCATTTATGACAACATGGAAGGACCTTGAAGGCATTATGCTAAATGAAATAAGTCAGATAGGGAAAGAGAAATACCATATGATCTCAATTATATGTAGACTCTTCTTTTTTTAAGATTTTATTTATTTATTTGACAGAGAGAGAGACAGCGAGAGAGGGAATACAAGCAGGGGGAGTGGGAGAGGGAGAAGTAGGCTCGGAGCAGGGAGCCCGATGAGGGGCTCGATCCCAGGACCCTGGGACCATGACCTGAGCCGAAGGCAGACGCTTAACGACTGAGCCACCCAGGAGCCCTCAATTATATGTAGATTCTAAAAACAAAAACAAAAACCCTAAACTCATGCACAGAAAAAAAAAAAAAAAGATTAGATTTGGGTTATCTGATGTGAAGAGTGTGGGGAGTGGGGATTGGAAGAAGGTGGTAAAGAGATACAAACTTCCAGCTCTAAAGTAACTAAGTCCCAGGACTGTAATGAACAACATGATGAAGATAGCTATAGGGAAGTTCTTTAGAGAGTAAACCTGAAGAGTTCTCAGCACAAGGGAAAATTTTTTTCCCTTTTTTTCTTTCTTTCAGTTGTGTCTATACCAGAAGATAGATGTTAACTAAACCTGTTGTGGTCATCATCTCATAACATGTAAATCAAACCACCGTGCTGTATGCCTTAAACTTATACAGTGATGTATGTCAATTATTTCTCAATAAAACTGGAAACAAATGAAGTGTTTTAGGAGATCTTTGTTAACCAGCAAATGCTTTTCAGTCTGAGCATTTCACCAAGTTGTTTTATGCCATCTGTCTCACAGGAAACAATTCATCTGAACCTCTAACATGCAGCATTAAAATTCCATTAACAACAGTGAGCAGAATATTAACGTGTGTGGGATTGCCATTTTCATCTCTCCAAATTTCAGTGTTAATTGTGAATATTACACCTTAATCTATTTGGTGAATTAAGAATATTGAATAAAATATATAATTAGCAGTTAAATGTATATAATAATACATAGAACTTAAGTGTATTTTCTGCAACTTAAACACAGATGGGCTACAGATTTCTATTAAGCTAATGATCATTTGTAAAAGCCCAAAATACCTCCCAAAGCCAATTTTCCCAGGACTCTGATGTTTTCATTCCTTTCTCTTTTTCAGAACCATATCACCGCCTTTGCAGAAGTCACATGATATTGAAGCAGATGGTTTGTCACACTGCATTGGACATCGTCCCTTTTCACCACCCGCTCATAACCCCCAAAGTTTGTTTGATTACAACAGAAGTTTATAAAGTTGTCTAATAATTTTTATAATTTTAAAATCAGTGTCAACTTATCTGTTTCCCCCACTAGACTGTGAGCTCCTCAAGGGCAGGACTGTGTCTTCTCTGTATCCCCAGCACCTACAACAAAACCTCGCACAAAGTAGGTGTTAAATAAAACGTAACGACCCAATGAAAAGATTAATTCATAAATAAAACATTCAAGTTAGTTTCTCACAGAATCACCGATACTATGTGAAAAGGAACCTTTACACAAGTCATCTTGTATAAGAAATCCCTCCATCTGGGGCTAGTTAAGCTTTTTAGTTTTTCATAGATCTATTCAGCAGTATATCACATTTCATTTGAAGCGGACTTTGAAAGTCATGGGGGTTTTATGTTATTATTCAGCATGACATTATTTCCATTCTAACAGATTTCAGTGTGTGAAATTACTTTTAGAAAGTATGTTCTATACTAAAATAATGTTTGCACATAATATTATGCTATATTTCACTTAAAATACCATTCATACTCTACATTCTAAGACTGGTGCTTCTGCTTTTGAAGGGGGAAAATGCCAATTTTTACTGTAATAAGTAATGTATCATAATTAAAAATTATTTATTTGGACTTTTGTTCCTGACAATTGTGGTTTAATTGTTGACTTGTAGCTTTCGAATGCAGCTAGTGCTTAGGATATTTTAAGACAAAATCTAGCAATGGTGCCTATGTGTTGAGCAATTTTCCACTGATAAAAGTCTCTCAAGAGGGGGGAAAGCCTCCATTCTTAGGCTTTTTACTAGTCAAGATTCCACATAATTTAAACAGGAAAGAACTACACTCTGACATATAAGTTAAAAATCTATAAATGCCAGAAATGTGGTTAACGCATTTTACTTTGCATTTGTATAGTTTTATAGTTTACAAGGTACATTTTCATTTATAATTTTACTTAATCCTTACAGTAACCCTGTGCAATCATTGAAAATGGCTTTAGTTTATAAATGGGAAAAATAAAGCCAAGGCAAGGTAAATAATGTGCCCAATTCCATACAACTAGTAGGAGGCAGTTAAAATTTAAATTCAGGTTTTTTGACCCTGAACCAGTATTCTTTTCTAATACACTAGAGCTATGGTATAATTTTGGACACACTGAAACCTTTTGGAGGTCAGGAGAGTCCTGGACAACTACCTATGGTTTTAAAAAAAATGAAGAAATACCAAAATAGAATTATAAGAGCTATGTTGTATTTTAAATACTTACGTTTTAAGAAGGAACACTTTTTAAATATGCAACTATATGGTAACCTATTTTTAATTTTCTTCAAAAATAATGTCAAGAGTCTAGATGTGAGGTCTTTTGTAAAGTGGAAACCTAAATCAGGTATCTGTCCTGCAGCCCTCACCCCAATGCTCTAAACCCCACCCCTCAGGAGAGGCCCCAAAGGACGTACCTCACACTGAGCATATGAAACTAAGGATGAAACCATGTCAATATAAGGAAGATGAACTGGGCTATGATTACACCATTAAATGTACTCTTCTACCATAATGTCACAATTTTTAAAGCCACCCTGAGTAGCTTTGTCTTATATGAGCAGTAGTTAATTGACTGAAATGAATCTTCCTCACCTTGACAGTAATAAAAAAAAAAAAGAAACTTTAAATTTTCTCTGTAATTTCAACAGAAATCAGCAAATGAATATAACCAAAGACTTGTTCATTATTCCCCAAATAGATTTTACTTGTTCTTTTCCATCACTATGGGAGTTAAAACACTTTTTGTAGGGCCAAAAGCAGAAAATCCATATTTCTACCAAATTCAGACTTCTATAGCAATTCAACTCTGTTGGAAATTTAAAACACGAGAAAGGTTAGAATGCTTTGATCCTCTTTAATGATCTTTTTAGGCAATAACAGTAATAGGGAGTTCACTTACAAGGAATGGAAGTGAAAAGGATGATTATAATGTCTTTGGAGTCAGGATTACCAGTAAGACTTCTGAAGTTAAATCAGTTTAAAGGTTCTAGAATCAGTTTTCCAAGGAACCAATTTGGAATGTTTTTCCTGTTGGAAGCCTTAGCTATATATTCATGTGTAAATGTTGTGTCTTTGCACCATGTTAAACCAGGTCCAAATGCAGGAGTTATATACATTCCTCAGAAATCCAGATTTTATCCAGGATTGGAGTAAGGTCATCTCTAATATTAAATGTCATGGGCCCAAGATTGTGTACTGAATGACCCTGTCATGACGGAAATTCAGAAGAATAAAAAAATACACATGCATAAGGCAAAAAGCCAGCAAAGAGTCCTGAACCATGATGCTATAACTACGAATAATGAAAAACACGTTTAAGAAAATATGAATCTGTAAATATGTACATATATAGTCTAGTAAAAGCAGGCAAACACCTACTTTTCTGATAAAGACATCTTTTTATTCTACTTACTCGGGGCCCAGGTCAGTCTAAATTGGTCAGCGTGAAAATTTTAGTAGTCTCTGTTTGCATGGCAGAAATTCTGCACATGTTTTATCTGATTCCTAAGATTATTTAAAAGGCTCTTTTATGTTAAAAGAGAGGTGAACCTTCTTTGACAGACTTGGTCTTTTCCACTTCTAACTGGGCCTCTCTTTTCTCAGGATCTATCCTAGCCAAATATCACAGTTACATTTACCATACAGTTTCCTTTGTGAAAGAGCAGTAGGGGAGGACATAATTCTCTGCTGTGTATTGTATTTTTCAAATAAAATCTTAAAAATTTAAAAAATTAAGTTTGATTTTTTTTTTTTTTTTTATAAATCCTTTCTTGGGGTAGACGAATAAAGAACACTTGTGTGACGCAAGTCGCATTGTCAGAGTGACTGGAGAATGTTTGCAAAGGGATCACAATGGTTGACATTAGACCAGTTCTCTGGGCAGCTCTATCCCATGGGCCATCCTGGGATCTTAGCAACCTCTTTATTTGCAATTCAGAAGCCCCTGAAACTATCTGGGACGCTGAGCAGGTGTATGATCTACTACATAATCTGTCTCCTCTGGGTATGGAAGGTACTAAAGAATGGATGTAAATGATCTTGTTCTTGCCTCTAGGGCACCATTTATTAAATTTTGATTGCATGTTTAAAAAAGTTTCCCTGGACATATACCAAATGGTTCTATTTATGCCTTAGAAACACAAATCTTTTCACTATTTGCCAGACATGGACTTTGAAATGAAGTTTGTGACCTTGGATTCTTTTAAAATTTCAGTTAAGGACATTTCTTCCAGATTTTAAGTGAGTGATTTTCTTATAAAAAGAAAAAAATAAGAGTATTTATATTCTGCTTCACTATCCCCTTTGCTTTAGATTATAGCTGGTTCTTAGGCTGATAAACCTTGGGACATGGTCGAGGTTTAATAAGAAAAAATATGTCTCCCCCCCCGCCCACCCACCAGGCTTTGTGAGCCATGGATTACAGGATCTAAATTCTAGACTGATATTTTCAAATCTGTGGCCTTGCTCACAAGGAGCTCCAAATAAGAAAATATACAGGAGTGGACATACAACCACCTTTAGCATTCAGCTGAAAACACAAAGTTCACATCTCGAAGATGCCATCCTCAACAAGGGTGATCCTAACAAACACCATCCTGTGTCCTGTTTATCTTCATATTATTAATAGCATTTATACATGTGAGTCCATTCTTCACTTTGCCCTGAAACACTATCACTTGTACAAAAGAGGAAAATTGTTCTCTTCTCAAGAGGAAAAAAAGGTATATTTTTAAATCAATATTAGAAAAAGAAAGAAAAATCTTTCCAAACTAGTGAGACACATTGAGTATTAATCAGGCTTCTCTGGAGGTATTGCTCCTACTCAAGAAGGCCCTTCAGCCTTCTTTCATTCAGCAAATATTTACTGACTGGTTTTGCATACCAGATACTTGGCAATGTGCCAACTAAACAGTGGCTAGAAAGACAGACACAGTCCTTGCCCTTTCAGATTGGACAGTTCAGCTGCCCCAACACTGATGGTTCCCTAAGAGATCTATTTAAGTTAGGGTGGGAGAATTGTCTTGGGGTTAGCCAGGTATCTACTCTTGAGACAAAACAAAGGACACTTTTGTAGATTACAGCAACAGCTACGGTTAACAAAAAAACATTGCCTCCATAAACAACATAGTATAATTTGGCTATTGCTGAATTTAAAAAGCCCTAACGTGCTATAATAATCCTCACAAATCTGTGGGTCAGTGGAGCCCCTTCTGTAGTCTCAGCTGGGCTCAGTCATGCACTTGTAATCAGGCTGGTAGCTCTGCTGATTTGGTTAGACGTTCTCACATACATGGGGGTCATCTGGCTGTAGGCTGATCTAAGGTGGCTTCACTTGGGACAACTGAACTTTTCTCTATATGGTCTCTCAACATCCCCGGGGCTAGCCAAGGTCCTTCCTGTGTGGGGGGCGAAGACAGAGCAGAATCAGGCCGGCACTGGCACACTGTCATTTCTATCTCATTTAATTGGCAAAGGCCAAGTCTCAAGGCCAGCCCAGACACAGTATTGTAGGAGCAGCTGGAAAGTCATTGGCAAAGAGGTGGACACAAAGATGGGTGGAGAAAAAGGGCTACTTTGCATTCAATGTACCATAAACTTTTACTGCACCTAAACCTTAAAAATGTTTAAGGAGTGCCCCCCTGAATTGAGTTCCTCAACTTATTGAGTACAGATTTTTTCTGATAAGCACAAGATACCCACGAATGACAATAGAAAGCAAGCTCATTGTATCTGAACAAAAATGGCCACCCCACCAATCATCAACTACATCCCAAAAATGTCTTTGTGATAACTGGCTGGAGAACAGCCCATCCAGCTCTTAACTGAAAGCAATGGGGAGCTTGCTGAAGCTTTTCTAGGTTTTCCCAGAAAGTCTTCCTAGGTCTTCTCCTATAGTAATAAAGGAAGCAGTCATATTTTATAAGAAAATGAAGAGACAGAGAATGAGAAAAGCATCTGAACAGAAAGAATAGGAAAAAAGTTGAAGCAAAAAAAAAATAATAATAATAAGTAAAACCTGAAGAAGGCAAAGGAATAACTGAAATAGAAAACCAGGTTATGATTCATTGATTGATCGTGTGCGTGTATGTGTGTTGTGTATGTGCCTACTTTGTGAAATTTTTATTTTCACGAATTTCAGTTACCATAGTGCTAGGAACTGAATATTTGTGTCCCCCAAAATTCATATGTTGAAGCTTGAATCCCCAAAGTGATGGTATGTTGAGATGGGGGAATTTGGATCATGAGGTCATAGGTCATGAGGGTGGGTCCTCTTGATGTCAATGCCCTTATAATAAGAGACACAAGAAGACTGTCTTCCTCTCTCTCTGCTCTCTGCCATGTGATATATGAGAAGACAGCTGCCTGCACACCAGAAAGATGGCTTTCCTCAAGCACCAGACCTCCAGCACCTTGATCTTGGACTTCACAGCTTCTAGAACAATAAATGATTGTTGTTTAAGCCACCCAGCCCAAACTGACTAAGGCATGGTTTAGTTAAATAACACCACTCCCCCAGCAACATTGTTCACATTTGAGTTACCATGGTATAATAACTATGAGTTATTGCATGAAGTACAGACATTGCTGCT